AGGAAGAACAGAGTGAGGAGAGAGAGAAAGCGAAATCTGATTTTCCAAAATTACAATTTTCTCCATTTCGTGATTTGCTCGTATTTTCTTCGTTACAAGTCCGATTCGTGAAAATCTGGCACGTTTCCCCATAAAGATAGTATTGCCAAACCTTCAGGGCAAACACTACTGCGGCAAGTTCCAAAACATGAAGATCCTCTGGAAACACATCTGGAAATTCCTGTACCACTGGAATATCCTCCAACCTTAATCTACTATCCCGGGTGTCCAATATGCGCCAAGTATCCTGAACATCCTTTCCTACGTGACCGTCTTGTCGTTGTAGCTGAAATGAGGCAAGATGGAAGTACTCCGAGCTCACTGTAAAATGTCACCTCAGGTCATTTAGGACTACGGAACACGACTTCCTTTCTAAAATAATCTATTGTGGCATGATGTTTAGTTAACCAATCCATGCCCAAAATCACATTCAAATCAATGTTGTGGGCAAAACTAGGGTGGCAAATGAATGCGTAGCCCCATTGTCAATTAAAACTCTAGCATGAATTCTGCAAACTTGTAACATACCTATAATTGTGTCAAGTGATGCCAGTACCTCCTGCTGTGACATACTGTACCCTCTACCCATAGCCCTGGAACATCCACCTCGTCCCCTCTGCTGTCTACCGCCCCTGCTGGCTACACTGGTCTGGGCCCCACCGCTAGACGAGGCCCCTAAAAACCGTGGTGTTCCCTGAGTCGGTGCAACTGTCATCTCTCCACCCTGAAAGAGCATCGGGAATTCCCTCCGGAAATGTCCAGACTGTCCACAATGATAGCATCTAGAAGTGCCCTGTTGACAAGGTTCATAATGGTACCTGCCACACTTTACACACTGGGAACGACCTCTCCTGCTCAAACTTGACTATAACTGTCTCCCTGCACCTCTAGCTTTTTCACCTCCAGAGCGGTTCCCAAAACTGCCACTCTGGTTAGAGCCTCTACTGGAACTAACTCCAGGTCCAAAATCTCCATAACTGCGGCCACTAGATGATCCCGAACTAAAACTGCCCCTTTTCGGTGACCCCTCTACCCATAGCCCTGGAACATCCAACTCGTCCTCTCTGCTGTCTACCGCCCCTGCTGGCTACACTGGTCTGGGCCCCACCGCTAGACGAGGCCCCTAAAAACCGTGGTGTTCCCTGAGTCGGTGCAACTGTCATCTCTCCACCCTGAAAGAGCATCGGGCATTCCCTCCGGAAATGTCCAGACTGTCCACAATGATAGCATCTAGAAGTGCTCTGTTGACAAGGTTCAGAATGGTACCTGCCACACTTTACACACTGGGAACGACCTCTCCTGCTCAAACTTGACTATAACTGTCTCCCTGCACTTCTAGTTGTTTCACCTCCAGAGCGGTTCCCAAAACTGCCACTCTGGTTAGAGCCTCTACTGGAACTAACTCCAGGTCGAAAATCTCCATAACTGCGGCCACTAGATGATCCCGAACTAAAACTGCCCCTTTTCGGTGACCCCTGATTGGGACCACCCTCCTCAAACTGTCGCCTACGAGAATCATCCCATACTCGGACCATCACCTGGCTGCTCTCAATTAGTGAGGCTGTCATAACCAGATCTGCGAAATTAGTTAGCCGCTGATTAATCACAATGTTCCTGGTTGACGCCTTCAATCCTCGGGTGAACAACTGACACTTCTTTCTTTCATTTGCTACTAGTGGAATACAATATTTAGATAGTTCGTTGAACTTCTGTTCATACTCCAATACCGTCATCCCACTCTGTTTTAGCTGCAGAAACTCTTCCATCTTCATGTTCTGATATGTGAGTGGATAGAACTGCACATCAAACTCTGCTATGAAATCTGACCATGTAATGGCCGATGGGTTCTGATATCTCCTCCTGACTGATTCCCACCAATATTTAGCATCTCTGGCCACAAAGGAAGTGGCCAGGGTCACCCTGTGATCGTGTGGAATGGCCATCACCTCCATAATCCACTCTATCCGCTCTATCCACTGCTCGGCTACAGCTGGGCCACCATCACCGTCGAAATCGGTGGCCCCAATCCTCTTAGCCTGATCTACGTAGCTCAGAGAAAGATTTCTGGATTTCCCAATTCTGGATAGGGCCTGAGTCAACAACTCCAAAGTCTGCGATAAACTAACATCTCCTGGAAATGTGGGTGTCACTGGTTCGGACCCTGCTGGGCCTCCAACAATTAACTGCTCTACCGGTTCAAGTACCGATGAAGGAGTAGGGAATTCTTCTGACTCTGCCTGGGGATCCTGTCCCCAGAGTTGGGGTGACTGTCTAGTACCTCGGCGAGTGCCACCATGTTTAGGGCCTATGATTCTATCATAAGAAACAGAAACTTATTAAAACTGGATTGCACATAAAGTGCAGAGTCTACAGGAATTTAACCTAATGCTCTGATACCAAGTTGACAGGACCCGACCCAAATTCCACTTTGAAATCTGAGCCGGACCCTGTGCGTGTCCGACACCTGGCAGGTGCCAGACACAATTGACCTTATTGCCCTTCCAGTCAAAATTTCAACTTAAAACCTAATAAAATATTCCGAGGGTAGTTTAGTCTTTTCTTTTATTAAATTATTAATTAAATATTAATTAAGGTTTGGGTTATTACAACGTAGACACAACGCCGAACCTCTGGTGTTCTTTGTGTGTGTGTTTACTTTTTGGTTGGTGTGTGTGCTTTATCTTTGTGTGACTTGTGTGTGGTAGTTGCATAGTCCATTAACGACAAAGTCTTGGAGTGTTTTCACACAACACACACTTCTTCCCTTCTATAGAAATAAACTAGCGTTAACATTTGTGGGCCTAGACTCAGTGAAAAGGATGGAAACCTATGTTAGACAGTCCTAGATTAATAATGGGATCTATCATGCCACATTAAGCTGCACCATCCAGCTTAAAGCTAATGCTCCACTTCTGGGCTTAGCACTTACGTTTGAAATAATAATAATGATTTTAGGGTTCAGCTCCACAAAATCATAGCTAATAAATTAAAATTTGTAATACGTGAATAGTACAGTCCATTAATTGAAACCTGCAATGCACTTGTAGGGTTCATAACTTGAATTAACACATCAACCACTTCTGTGATATTTAGGCACATCAACCACTTCTGGAACACTAATATATGATATTTTATTGTTCGAAACCTTTGTATTATATGTCTCGTGCACCGTCAACCACTTCCTTTGCCAATGTTTTTGTTGTTGAGTCTATATATAGCTAGCTAGCCCACCAACTATTTGATGAAGAGTAACTTGTACTGTATTACAAAAGTACAAACCCTAGCTTGCAAAGGAAACATAGGTCACCACCAAGTGAGAAGTGTCTATATAAATATAGGTCTCTTCAGTCCTTCATATTCGCAAGAAAACACATTAAGATCGAAATGGGAAAGAGCAAGGTACTTGTGGTAGGTGGAACTGGGTACGTGGGGAGAAGGATTGTAAAGGCAAGCCTAGCCCAAGGCCACCCAACCTATGTCCTTCAAAGGCCAGAGATTGGTCTCGACGTTGACAAGTTAGAAATGCTCTTGGGATTTAAGAAACAAGGAGCTCACCTTGTGGAAGGTTCATTTTCTGATTTCCAAAGCCTTGTTGATGCTGTCAAGCTTGTTGATGTTGTCATCTGCCCCATGTCTGGGGCTCATAATCGGAGTCACAACATTTTGATGCAGCTCAAGCTTGTTCAAGCTATCAAAGAAGCCGGAAATATTAAGGTATTAGTGATCGATCTCCAAAAATCATATATGTGTAATAGGCATATATACAATTTACAAATGAATGGATGGATGTTCATTTGCTCCGTGTGCGTTTTCACTCTCATGTTACTACACATCATGTTTTATTTTATGAAACTTATTAATATCCTATACCTAAAATATAAAACACATTGTCCACTCATATATTATATCATATGGATTAATAACATCGTGTGATGGCAAAATTGTTGGTTGTAACGCCACCCCAACACGTGGTGTTACTAATCCAAGTATTATAATATGGGTGAACGACGCTAATATATTTAAGAGATTTAGGGTATACATACACGTTATAAAATAAGCGGATTGATTGTGACGCTCACACCAAAAATTTCTTCACCCATCGCTGTTCCGGTCACACCAAAAAGTTTTTTCAAACTCTTAGTCGCGACAATTTTATCTATCTTTATAGGTACCCTTCATTTTTTGAAGTACACCTTCTAATTATTTTTCATTATTGCTCGTGTCAGGTGGCACTTGTAAGTATCTAGTTACCTTTAATAGAAAATGATATGATTTTGCTTAAGAATTGGTTTAACTTTGTCCTGATAAGTAAACGAATCAAAGAAAAAGTGGCTTATGGTATCGAAGGTCAGGGTGGTGGGTGGTTAATAGTGATATTCCAAGTCTTCAATATGAAAAGAAACAAAGTGAGTCCTAAATATTATTTGATACTAAACTTATGAATTTAATTTACCACGGTTCAAAACTTGGGTACAAAGGCTCATTGTCCTTGTTAATTCGCCTAACTCAGTAATCTCCCTAAAAGAGGAAAATAATGAATTACATATAAATTTTTCCAAATTAAATACTTAAAAGAACACTACAAATTACAAACACATTGTATTTCTTACTCTTTTTGTTTCACTGGCTTTTTTTTTTTGCAGCGTTTCTTGCCATCAGAATTCGGATTCGATCCAGCACGTATGGGACATGCACTTGAACCTGGAAGAGTTACATTTGATGAGAAAATGATAGTGAGAAAGGCAATACAAGATGCTAAAATCCCTTTCACTTATGTATGTGGCGCCGCCTTCGCCAGCTATTTTGCAGGCAACCTTTCTCAGATGGGAACACTCTTCCCTCCAAAGGAAAAAGTGCTTATTTATGGAGATGGTAACGCTAAAGGTAAAGTTAATACATTAAGTTAAACATCACTTTTTATCACTATAGATATTCATATATAAAAAATGTTGAGCAACGAATTTCTAGCTCAAGTAGTTAAGAGCATTCAACCTTGCATCCGGATGTCCTAGGTTCGATTTCCCTCTTGCTCATACTTTTATATTTGTTTCTGCACGCAAGAGCAATAATTTAAGTATCTATGACATAGAATTAATTGTCTTAGTTTATGCTTTTCATGTACCGTGCAGTAACTATTTTGGAGGAAGATGACGTCGCAGCATATACAATCAAAACAATAGATGATCCGCGAACATTGAACAAAACATTGTACCTTCGTCCACCCGAAAACGAACTCAGTCAAAAGCAATTGGTCGAGATGTGGGAGAACCTAATAGGCAAGGAACTAGAACGTATTTCCATTTCTGAACAAGACTTCCTTGCCTCTATGAAAGGTACGCAAATGAAATCTATTGTATCGAAAGTTACCAAAAATTGCATCTATGGTTAACCTTGTCGATTAATCATCAGCTCTACGCATGGATTTTATCCGCCGACACAATAAAATTCTATGATTTTTTGTACGCGCAGATCGATCGACATTCACTCATTACTCGGATTTTAGGTTTCAACTCTTGAGTTGTAGTTGCCTAAAATCAAAGATCTGAACCAAATATAAACTCTAGACTGAAATTTCAAACCTTGAAGTAATTCATAAATTTAATCTAACTGCTTGTGTGGTTAGCTAGTATTAGAAAGTTAAATTTAATCTCTATATGCGTAGTTTTCTTTTGATCTCATATATGTAATACTATATTTCAGGTATGGACTTTGCAGGCCAGGTAGGAGTGGGGCATTTCTACCACATGTTCTATGAAGGCGCTCTGACAAACTTTGAAATCGGGGAAGAAGGAGAAGAAGCTTCAAAGCTTTACCCAGAAGTGAAATACACCCGCATGGATGAATACTTAAAACTTTATACATGAGAACAAAACAAGGTGTTTAGTAATAGTTTCTCAAAAAATACATTTATGTTGTTATCACTTTCATGGAGGATTACAGCGTGCCTGATGCTCTATTGTGTATGTAATACAACATATTAATCACTTATTATTATCTACTGTTAGTGAGGCTATAGTTTCCTAGGTGATCTCAGTGTGTGAGGTCTCAAACTGGGACAAATATATATGCCTCTATGCATTTGTATGGAATAAGGTGTCCTACCACACGTTGAACCAAAAAAGGTGTCCTACATCTTTTTTTCTTTTTTTAACAAGAAATAAAATTAGAGAGTTTCACTATTATGCACAATATAGGGGGTTCAAATTATTATAAATAAATTAAAAAAACCCTATATGAAATGGACTTTAGAAACACATCCAAAGCCCATTTACAATATAAACAAAGAGGCTTCAAACTTCTTATAAATTACAAAACTACATCGAAGTAATTTAAAAAACCCCAAAACCTCATAAAAAAAAATCTAAAACACTCAACAGGGCATCAAAGTAATTTAATAATCAAAATTAAATTCAATATGACTAGCTGTCATGACAGGACCCGACCCAAATTCCACTTTGGAATATGCACCGAATCCTGTGCGTGTCCGACACCTGGAGGTGCCAGGCACACTTGACTAAATTGCCCTTCTAACTACGACTCAAAATTTCCTTCAAGGTTTGACTTCTGCAAAAAATTCAGCAAAGTCTCCCCTGTAAGTTGCTCGTTTCCCAAAAATTTTTACCTGTACAAAACGCAATTCAAATAACCACAAACGTTCATCATGCATAATGTTAGGACACACACAACCAACAACAAATCTTTATGACCTCAGGCCTTACAGAAATCCTAGGACAATTTCAGAGCAATACTAATCAATTTAATTTACAGGAATAGTTCGATTACAGTAGAAATCCTACAAGGAGGGAAAGGATGAATGGTGATGATGATCAAGGTCTAAAATATCGATGATATCGGAAATATCGGTAGTCCAAAAACACGGAAATGTCGATGGAAATATCAGGATATTATCGATATCGATAAAAATTGAATAAAAACCACGGAAATTGTAAGAAAAACTTGGAAATTTTTATTGAAACTTTGCAGGATGTTTATTTAGTCAATTATCTATTAGTTTATCACAAAAAATTGGAAGGAAATGCATTGCATGATGGATTTAACTGATTTAAGTTGATTATATAGTGAGCTGGCAAACACTATAAGTGTAGAAAATATGTAGTAATTAATGAAAGAAGATTAAACACACCATAATCATTTATATATAATGAATTACTACAATATTTTACACTTTATACATTGCATGGTAAGATACATGAGTGACTTAGTACCACATAGAGTTCCTATGAGGTTCAAAATTTTCACTATCTTCATCATCTCTATGTGGATAGTAAGTATATTGTGAAGAGTAGTCATTCTCATCTCATGTGAAAATTTGTTTCTTGCAAAAAGAATTCAAAACAAAACCATGTATATATATATAAATATTTTAGCATATTTTCACAAAAACATAAGTGATATGGTGGTTAAAGTGTTGAAGGAGTAAAATGGGAGGGGTTCGAATCCCCTTGGTGTTTTTTTCAATATCGAAATTTATCCTAGATAATAAATGTTAGCTTGCAGACATTTTAAAGACGTTATAAATATTACATGTTGAAGATAAAATCACAAACACATCCTCAGAGAGATGGATAAGGCGCTGTGGCTGTTGAAAGAGGGGGAGGGGTTCGAATCCCTCTATGTGCAATAGGGGAGGCTTTTCAAAAAATTTCATGTATTTTTGGGTTTCATATCGCAATATTATTGATAATATCGCAATATATTGCCCAAATCATTCATAAAAATGTTGACATTATCCCGATAATATCGATAAAAATATCGATATATTGACGATAACTCCATGGATAGTTGCGAAAATATCGGCCCCCCAAAAAACTGATACTATCGGGATAATATCGCCGATAATATCGGCATTTAATACTAATGCCATCAGATCAGTGATGATGCTCAAGGAAATCCAACTTAATCTTATTGAAAACCAAAACAAATAAAATTTAATATTAATTTGAAATGAATTTAAAAGCTTCACACAAGAAATTGAGATATATGAATTTATATTCTCTTCTTCTTTTACTTTTTTTTCTTTAATTTATTTGTTTGTAGGGTCCAAATTAAAAACAATCGTTCGCAACTGTCCTAAACTTACCCAAAACCAATAGATTTTGCTTAAGAGAAAGTAGTTTAGGGTTTACAGTTTGGATCCGGATCCTCTGCTCTGATTTTCTCTGCCATGATCTGCTATACTTTCACTGTAATGCTGCCACATCATTAAAAAACAATCCAAAGGTAGAGAATATAGCACGTGTATTTTAAAAATAAATAACATATATTTTATATATTTTTTGACAAAGTAAAGGCAATAAACAACGTTCTCTCCCCGTCTGTTCATCCTTTTGCCATCCAAGGGTTGAGTTGAGGTGCAGAAACTTTTGGCGAATGACACCAAAGATGGATATATAATGAATTATTGGAATTTGTTAGGAAAATGATGATCAAAATAAAAACGATTCCTCTGTGAAGCGGCTTTTTGAGAATCCACAATTGTTAATTACAATAGGAACAGCGGCCTTAGTTATCATTCTCTCTGCTTATGATCTCTTGATTGAAATTACATTTGGCCTTCTATTTTCAGTGATTAAATTGATTAGATTGTCCTCGTCAATAGAGATCAATCTAATAACACATTTTTGAAGAAAAAAAGCTTGTATATATGTCCTGAAAGCTGATGAGAGATGGAGAAGACCAAGAATTATGTCAAATTCGATCAAACGCGGAACTGGTTGTTGTCCAAAAGTTTGAGAAATCAGATAATTAATAAGTGTATGCTCATTGTTTGGTTGATGAGGAACAAAAAGAAGAAGAAAAAAGATTTGTCTTTCAATAGGACAGAACACAAAGAAGAAGAAGAAAAGAGGATAGAACAGGAAGAAGAAGGAGAAAAAGAGAGAAAGAGGATAGAACACGAAGAAGAAGAAGAAGAAAAAAAGCTTTGGACGTTAAATATCCCGTTAGTTGGGTGTTAGGGTCGTTATTTTTTTTTTTTTTTTTTAATTAGGAGTAAATTGAGTTTTTGTTTTAGGATGATGTGTCAACATTTAAATCCCTTAGATTAAATTTTAATGAGGTGGCGTATGGAGAACAAAAGTAAAGCAGATCATAGCAGAGAAAATCAGAGCAGAGGATCTGAATCCTTAGAGTTTAGGGTATGTGTGAAATGAATAATTGAAACTACATATCACTCTCTTAAACTTATCATACGTCTGTAATTAAAGTATGTAAAAATCTCAACGACCTTGTTGTTCAATCCTAATTAATGACATCATTATAATTGATAAATGGCTATGGCCCATAATTACAAGTATTAGAAATTACATAATCAAGTTCACATTAAGCACAGAAACAACAAAGAAGAAAATACTAGGCTTAACTTTGTTTTGTTTGAAGACGTGAAGCACGCTTTAGAAATGGCATTACAATCATATTGTTCAATCCTAATTAATGACTTATAATTGATAAATGGATTTGGCCCATAAGTACAAGTAGTAGAAATTACATAATTAAGTTCACATTACAACACAGAAGAAAATAGTAAGCTTAACTTTGTTTTATTTGAAGACGTGAAGCACGCTTTAGTTTGTTTTATTTCAAGAATATTATTACTTGACCTTTCAAAATTGCCACCTGGCTTGACTTTTTTTTATGGCTTCAATTTTCTCTATTATCGCGGGCCAGTACAGCAAGAAAAAGAAGCGAAAGCTGCATGCATGGTTTGGGTTTGCTTGATTATAAATAGCGCAGCAGGTTGGAGCTAGGATAAGCAATAAGCAACGAGAGAGAGAAAGAACCCATACGTCATGGCCAAATCAATGAGTTTTACGTATGATGTTGTGCTCTTCGAATCGACGAGTCATGGGCCCAAATCTGAACTCGGGCCCAAACTTGTAGTTTTCCTAATTTGCCTTTGCGTGCGCGTCTCTCCAAGTCCTCTTCAATTACTTCCTCCATCTGTTTTCCAACTCCTCTTCAATTTATTAATGAAGTTCACATTAAGGATATGCTAATACAGTAATACTTATGTCTTATGGAAAAGTCTATCTAGAATGAATTAATGCAAAGGCCTATATGTCTAATTCAATCAATCACATGGGTTTGTTTTGTATTAAGGAGAAGTCTAGAATGCAATCATAAAAATGGAGCCTCCACATTGGGTAAATTCAAAGACTGATAAAAAGATTTCACATATATAATATCTTATCAGTGATGCTCAAGGAAATCGAACTTATTGAAAACCAAAACAAAGAAAATTTGGCAAGGAAATGTGTGTTCATAGGACTTGAATTGGCATTTTAAAGTTAGCTATACGTACACACAGTCTAGTTTTGCAGACCCTCCAATTATATGGTTTTTCAAGAGAGATTTTTTCAGCCGATGTGGTTATGAAATGAAACCCAGCACATGTTATCTTCCCTAAGATTAAGAATGACCTGGGCTTCAGCCCTCTATGTAAGTGTGCCGTCTCTGTCTACAAATTTTAAAGAAAAAACAAGCTCATCAGGACTATAAATATTAGGGTTATCTTCTTTTTTTTCTTTGATTTATTTGTTTGTAGCACCATACTTGGCTTTTTATGGATAGTAATTGGTTATTGGCCCCAAAAAAAAGAAAGAAAAAAGATGCCAACTTAATTAGGGAACAATTGGTACTTCCACTCCATTAAACCTACTGCCTTTCAGTAATTAAACACCAACTTTGTCATGGCCCAAATTTGAGCTCATACGTCATGGCAAAGCGATGAGTTTTACTTATGACGCCATTTCCTTTGAATCGATGGGTCATAGGCCCAAAACAGAGCTCGGGGCCCAAACTTGCAGCTCCCTTGCGCGAGCGTCTCTCCAACTCCTCTTCAATTACTTCCGCCATCTATTCTCCAACTCCTCTTCAATTTATTAATGAAGTTCACATTAAGGACACATGCTAATTCTTTTGTCTTATGGAGATGTCTAGAATGAATGCAAATGCTAGGAATAAACAAGGAATTAAAATAGGAAAAACAACAAAGTTTCCAAAAACTAATAAACCGTGAAAATTGGATCTCGGATGCCCGAAAAAACCCATAAATCATGGAAAATCAATGAGTTTTACTCATGACGTCGTGCTCTTCGAATCGACGGGTCATGGGCCCAAATATGAGCTCGGGGCCCAAACTTGCAGTTTTCCTAGTTTGCCCTTGCGTGTGCGTCTCTCCAACTCCTCTTCAATTACTTCCTCAAGCTGTTCTCCAACTCCTCTTCAATTTATTAATGAAGTTCACATTAAGGATACGCTAATACTTATGTCTTATGGAAATGTCTATCTAGAATGAATTAATGCAAATGCCTATATGTCTAAATTAATTAATGACGTTTCAATCAATCACATAGTTTTTTTTTTTTGGTATTAAGAAGTCTAGAATGCAATCATAAAAATGTAGCACCCACATTGGGTAAATTCAAACTGATAAAAAGATTTCACATATATGATATCTTATCAGTGATGCTCAAGGAAATCGAACTTATTGAAAACCAAAACAAAGAAAATTTGGCCAGCAACTTTCAAGGAAATGTGTGTTCATAGGACTTGAATTGGCATTTTAAGTTAGCTACGTACGCACAGTCTAGTTTTGCAGACCCTCCAATTATATGGTTTTTCAAGAGAGATTTTTTCAGCCGATGTGGTTTTCAGTTGCTTAATTTGCTTCCTTCTGTGACCTAGCTTGGTTTGATTATGATGAAGTGAAATCCAGCACATGTTAAGAATGACCTGGGCCTTCAGCCCTCGCTGTTCAGTCCTAATTAATTACATAATTATAATTGATAAATGGGTATGACCCATAAGTACAAGTAGTGGAAATTACATAATGGGCGCTAATAATATTGTGGTCCTTTACTTCATTTTGGGCCCAAAATGAAGTTATTGGCCGGACCAAGAAAAACAGAAAAAAGATATTATTTTGTATTAGGGAGACGTTTCAATCAATCAATCACATTGGGTAATTGAAAGACTTATATGATGCCATTAGATCAATGATGATGCTCAAGGAAATCCAACTTAATCTTATTGAAAACCAAAACAAATAAAATTTAATATTAATTTGAAATGAATTTAAAAGCTTGACACAATTGTAGGGGTCTTTTTTCTTCCAACAGCCAGACGAATGGGCTTAGGCCGTTGTAAAGGATGAGCGGAGAAGGTTGCCCCTGTTTCTGAGTTCAAAGACTGGAGTTTTGAAAGGAGTAGTGACAACCTTAGAAAACACCTTGGATTCTTTCACCAATCAACCAAATAAACGTGACAGATTAGCAATGGAATGGCTTGGCTTGAGGAGCTTGTGGCATGGGAGCTAAGCCTTCACAAGTTTAGCAATTTGGGAGAGAGACAAAAGCTTGAATTTCTTATGGAAACAAATATTCAGGGCAAGGGGGAGAGAGATCTGAAGAGATTTTTTGACTAAGGAAGAGAGGTAGAGATGGGAATAGAGAATGGGGTGTCTTGAGTAAATTCTCAGCCGCTTGACAAAGCTTGGTCGCGCTCTGGATGTTTTACTAGAAGAGAAAATAGGAAGAGATGGAGGAATGGGGCTCGAAATTGCAAAGGTTTCAAGGATGAGAGATGAAGCTTGCTCTCTGAATGTGGTTGTTTTGCTGGGTAGAGAAAGCTCCCTTTTATAGGCTCTTAGAACCCTAATTCTATCGATTCTCCATTCCCACTTTTCCTTTGCTTCTTCCATTTCAACCCCATTTGGTTAAACTTCCCTAGCCTGTGCACTTAGGCATGAAGCCCTTTTGGGGTTCCAATATCTTCAAGCAGCTGGATTTCTTTATGTGGATGAGGCGCCACCCTCTTTTTACTTTGGTTTTCCTATTAAAGCTTGTAGAAGAAAGAAACAGGGGTAAAGGCATTAGTCTAATGGGTATTCCTATGAATCTCCGTTGGTTTTTGCAGTGGCTTGCTATTTGACTTGGTTCTGAGGCTTTTGACAATGCTAGATATTTTATAAGGTACTGGGCTGGGCTTTTTCTAAGATATTGGGTCATTGACATTTTATTTCCAGCAGCCAGCTAAGGCTTCATAGTTTCGTCAAGTTGTTGGAAGTAGCTTGTTTGCTTAATTTTTTGACAAGGCACTGGGTGTTTTAGCTGGTGCGGGATTTTCCTAAGTATTTCAGGCTATTGGACATTCTCCTAAGGCATTGGGTCATTTTTCTCTCTCTTTTGCTTACCCATATGTTTGGGCTCAAGGAATGGGCTTGAATTTTGGTGCTCCCAAATAGCCCAAAACTTCCACTTCTTGGCTCATCAATGGGCCTCGTGAATGCTCGTAACCATTCATACCACAACCCGCTCAGCAAGCCTCAGGCATTTGCGTGGCTTGGGCCCACTTAAGCTTGTAACGTGGCTATGTGTAATAATAATGATTTTCGCTTGGCATTGCATGTTGGTTGGCGTGCTTGAATTTTGTCCCCTTTAAAAGGGATATGATGCTTGACAGGATAATTAGCATAGGCTCTAGCATGGCGGATTACGTATTTATTTGGCATGGCATGTGGATCGTGACTCGTGCGAGCGTGGATGATGAACTTTCGCGTGCCCAAATCAGGTTTCTTCTTAATAAGGTATCGTACTGGGCTAGGGATATTTTTGGGCCAAACCTTGGATTTTTTTGGACCTCAACAACAATAAATTGAAATATATGAATTAATATTCTCTTCTTCTTTTACTTTTTTTTCTTTGATTTATTTGTTTGTAGGGTCCAAATTAAAAAAATCGTCCGCAACTGTCTTAAACCTACATAAAACCGATATATTTTGCTTACGAGAAAGGGTTTTTTCAGTAAAAAAATATGAAGCTATGTCTGTGTGAAAGGAACAATTGAAACTACGTACCATTCTCCTAAACTTATCATACGTATGTAATTCAAGTATGTAAACATCTCAACAACTTTGTTGTTCAATCCTAATTAATGAATGACATAATTATAATCGATATCCTATGGCCCGTAAGTACAATTAGTAGAAATTACATAATCAAGTTCACATTAAGCACTGAAACAACAAAGAAGAAAAGACTAGGCTTATCTTTGTTTTATTTGAAGACGTGAATCACGCTTTAGTTTGTTTTATTTGAATAATATTATTACTTGGAGTTGGACCTTTCAAAACTGCCACCTGGCTTGACCTTTTTTGCTGGGTTCAATTTTCACTGTTTCGCTTTTGCGGGCCAACCCAACTATGGATACGTACAGCAAGAACAAGAAGCGAAAGCTGCATGCATGGTTTTGGGTTTGGGACCTTTGGGTTTGCTTGATTATAAATAGCACAGCAGGTTGGAGCTAGGGAAAACAATAAGCAACGAGAGAGAAAGAAATAGACAAGTGTGTTTATAAAAAAAAAAATCAATCATATTGAAGAGAGAGCGAGTGATCATCAGAAATGGCATTACCACCTCCATATGTACTGCCAGAGTTTTTTTCGCTGAGATCAAAGAAGAAAAGATACTTGCGCTACATACACCAAGACTTGGACGGGGTACATGGGCTTCTCCAATTCTCCGGAGTGGAGGTGGTCAGCCCACACACAAAGTTCCATGCGGTGAAGGCCCAAGGCGAAAGCAACAGCGGTCTGGTGAACATACAATCCTGTTGCAACAACAAATACTTGAGGAGTGGATTGTGGCCGGGGCTGACGAGCTACAGGAAGATCAAACCGTTTGGACATGTACGCTCTTCAAGCCCGTCATCATCGAGCACTTCATATGCGGCGCCCAAATCAAATTGCTCCACGTGGCCTCCGGTTACTTTTTAAAGATATCCGGTATAAACGAATGCCTCATTTTAAGTCCCGATGACAAATATAATGTCTTCACAGTCATCGACTGGAGCAAGTTCGCGATTTTGCCCAAGCATCTTGCCTTCGAAGGCGACGATGGGAGTTACATCAGCGTCAATAGAGATCCTACAGACCCATGTCTGCATTTCTCAAGCGAAGATCCTACTGATGAAACGTGAAACGTGAAACGGTGGAAAACGAGGTGTTCCCCGCCCCCCCGGGCAGTGATGGAAGCGTTTGCATATATTCCACCTTCAAGCAAAGGTTCTGGACGAAAACGGAGCATCCCGTTCACGTCTAACTCTACCGACAGCTGGATTTGGGCTAACACAATCGACGACTTAGTCAACACAGCGTCGTTTTGGCCAGAAAAGGTAGATGACGTTGTTGTAACTCTCCGCAACCTGGGCAGCGGGAATATCTGCAAGAGGCTGGACGACTATCTGAATGCCGGACCTTGCGAAGTTCCTCCTCAATGGACGCACCTGGAAGTCGAAGAGCATGTTAAGTCCCGGACCATCTCTATTCTCAACTTCCACGCCCTCACCGATGCCAAGATCTACAACCGCATCATCGACATGGAAGTGGCCATCGGATACGCCGAAAACCGCAACCAACAACCGGCCTCTAAAACTATCTGGCTCGCCTATGAAGACACCAAGGCTAGTACTTGGAATACCAGTACCGAAGACCTCGATTTCACAGCCATCATCCCAACCCTCACCTCCGACACTCCATTCATTCTAGACGAAGAACGCATTGATATTTCGGGTAACTTTAACGGAACCTACCAGTGGGGTCCACCTCACATATCATCAACCCCAATTAGGCTTGGGGTCCGGGTTGTTGTGCCGGCATTAAGTTGCGTGACGGTGAGGCTGCTAGCTACACATGCTTCATGCGACATTCCCTTCAACTACTCTAAGAACGACACTCCTTTGCGGACAACCTACAACGAGGAAGTTGGCCTTTACACTGGTGTCAGTCTCTACAACTTCCACCAAGTGAGAGAAGAAGCACCGCTTCCACCCGCTGCCGGATGATCATCCTGTGAAATTAATTTGATGTTTGTGGGTAGCGTCGCTGGAAATCCTCACGAGACTTCACTCGTTCCATTAGGGTCACCTATGGGTTTAAAAAGCTTGTTGCATATGCTAAATGCAATCGCTTTCCCTGCGAAAGTGGCATTTTCATCCGTTTTCTTCTGGTTGTGATTTGTCTTCAATAATATTGCATGCAGCTACTGCTCATGCATTCATGCATATGTAAGTTAAACTAGCTAGCTACTAAGACTATCTGTGCAAATAAAAGTTGTGCTTTCTTTCGTTTTACTATCCTGATCCAGATTACCTGATGCATTCATGCATTTCCATGATTCAAGATAAACAATAATAGTTCAATCCATGCATTCCAAGGTATGCAAATTAGAAAATCGAAAGGGGAATTAAAGATTCTAACAATATTCTCAACACATATATCAACATCTCAGAACTTTCGTTCCAACTCCTATAAATATTTATCATTTAATCAAGGATAATGTACTACCAATAATACACATTAATCAGAGAAATGCTCAGCTAGTTTCTTGATGATATTGATTAGAGAACCCTGACAACTGCGAAGCTCTAGCAACGCAGTTTGATTAGTTTCATGTTTCCACCTATGCGGGCTTCATAATGGAGTTCTTCTCCATCTGCAATCAGGAAGTACACTAATTAGAAAGGTTAATGTGGGAGCAAATTTCCTCCCACGAGAATATTCGGTTGAAAGATTCCCCTTTCTTCTTCACCGCCTCTTTCTCCCTGCAAAATAAATTGGATAAGAGGACCACACCCGGGGGGTGTTGGCCAAAGGCCCTCCGATGCCTAAGTTAGTTCAATTGATTTAGAGAAAAATCAATAGCTAAATAGGGTACGGAGATATATATGTGTGGTGAAAACCGGGCGGCCGGAGCCTTATGTAAAAGAGAGAGAGAGAGAGAGAGAGAGAGAGAGAGAGAGAGAGAGAGAGAGAGAGGTTGCTAGGATTTGTGAAGGAAAGAGCTCTCTAGAGTTTGAGTAGAAATTCTGACGTACCTCATCCTTGTGCGTGGCCAAGTATTTATAGGGGGCCTTGACGAGGTTGGTGAGGTTGGTGTGGTTGGTGAGGTAGGTGAGGTTGGTGAGGTTGGTACATTTAGGGATTTGATTAACTAGGGAATTAATCAAATCCCTAATTGTGGTAGGTGAGATTAGTGGGGTTGGTGTATTTAGGGATTTGATTCATTAGGAATTTAATCAAATCCCTAATGGTGGTAGGTAGGTTAATTTCCAAACTGATTTTGTTCCTCATTTAATTGGGAAATGTGGTAGGAATGAAATGAATATTTAACTTAATTAGGTATTTCTCAATTTAATTGGATAACCCCCAATTAAATTGAGTAACTCCCAATTAGGTTTAGAAATTCCCAATTAGGTCAAATAATCCCCAAATGGAATGAATTAGGGTTCTGATTTAATTTGGTTCCCACAAATGCCCCCTAGCTTCTGCATGGCGCGTGGTGGCATGTAGGAGATGTAGATCATCTGTTGGGCTGTCCAGCTGTAACTGGGCTTCCTTCTTGGATTTGGGCTCCCAATTGGAGTGGGATTTTGACTGTTCTTGGAGTTGGGTTCCCAGTAGGAATGGGCTTGCGATTCCTTCTTGACCTAGGATGCCCAACATGTATAAATACAGGGCTTCTCTTCACTCTTCTTCATATCGCAAACTTAACTTCTCTACTTTCTAGCTTGAGAGAGATCTTGGAGAATTTGTACTGCTTTTCGAAGAGAGGAGTCGCCGTGCATCCCAAGGTAAGTCGAGCATGTATATTTCTTTTTCTTCTTTTTTTGCTTCGAGGATCATCTAGGGGAAGCTCGACTAGTTGTCGTCGTGACAGGTGACGGCTAGTAGTGGGCGGCAGCCGTGGTGGAGCAGGTGCGCGCAGGCAGACCAACTACTGCCTATCGTCACAGGTCTGGGCTGGAGCATGCTTGGACTCTCGCGTTGCGGGCCTCGTCAGCTCGGCAAGTATCCGGAGAAAGTCGGTGGTCTACCCCCAGCCCAGGATGTTGAGAGATGGAAGCAGAATGGTCCAGGCTCTGATGATCTGCCAACTGGGCAGGATAAGTGTTCTGCCGGACTTCCCTAAAAAAGGAAGGCTGATGTCAAGTCTTTTAAGAAATGGAGTTGCAACTTCGCGGGCGAATTATGTGTCTCCGTTGAGGAAGAAGCCAAAGTCCCATTCTGCTGAGAAGACTCGAGTGGGGTCTGTTCCATCATCATCTGCCAGGGTCAAGCATCTTGTTTGTGTAGATAGCAAGAAGGTTGGTGAGAATCATGATCTGCTCCGTGAGATAGTTCGTGCCCGATCCCGTTCTGTCGAGCGTCAAAGAGATGCAGATATCCCTCTTCGAAGTTCGAGTCGTCTGCATCAGTCTAAGGATGGGGATCGAATGCAGAGACTCGCTCATGATCTAGTTGTTGAGGCACGGGCAGTCAAGCGTGGAGTTGATTCTGCATCATTGACTCCTTTGCAGGTGAGGCTGGCAGAGGTTTTAAGAAGATGAGAGAGTCATCTGCCCGAGCGAAGGGTTCTTCTGCAACGTCAGCTGTTGGTCTCAAGGTTGACAAGCCTAGTCCTGTAGGGGATACAGGCGTATCTGATCTGCTCAAGACGAACTTTCTGTCAAGCCCGTCCACTTTTGCTGAGCTGGTTGTCCACGTCCGTCAGGCCGGCGATCTTGGCACCTTCTTGAGTCTCTCCTTGGAAAAACAAAAGGAAGTGATACTTCATTTGCTTCAAAAAGGATTAGTTTTTGCTACCGAGACTATCCGGAACTCATTTGCTGTTGTCCCCTCTTTTGCTCAGCTCAGTGAGCTGGAGAAGAAGAATGTCAAACTAGCCAGCGAGCTTTTTGCCAAGCAGGCCAGTTATGAGAAAAAGACGTCTGATTTGAGGGCGATGATATCAGAGTTGAAAAGCTCCCTTGCCGAGAAGGATTCCGAGCTCAGCTCTTCTGCTGCTGATTTGGCTAGTCGAAAAGATGCCTTCTTCCGTCTTGAGCGCAAGAATGCTGACATCTCCCATAGCTATGACAAGCTCTTGGCTAGGTTCCATGCTCACCACAAGTCTGCTGAAAAATCCAAGTCTGAAGCTGCCATAGATGTGTACAAGTTGGGCTACCTGCACTGTGCGGATGGGACTGCTCCCTTTTATGCAATTGAAGATGCAGACATCGAGACACTCTGCCCTGACTTATTCCATGTGCAAGGAGGAACTGAAGAGCAGGCAGCTGGAGCGGATGGAGCTGAGGAGGACGTAGTAGATGAGATAATGGCAGACGTTGCGGAGAAGGCAGGCGAAGTTGCTGAAGGCATGACTGATCAGGTGGATGCAGAAGAGGTTGAAGATCAAGGGTCTCCTGCCAACGTCTCGGAGTAGATGAAGATTTCTTTATTTCTTCTCAGTTTTTGTAGTTTGCTTTCTTGTTTAGAATAATTGGTCTTATTCGACCATCTTCCTTTTGTTGAACTTGGCCGGTTGGTCTGCTTGATATGGAAATTTAGTTTATTTTTTCAACTTCAATTTGCATATTGACTTGTGGACTGCTTGAGTAACCAGCTTGTATTTTGATGGCGCATCTCCCTTTGGAGATTTCTGAGTGCTGGGGGTCACCCTTGAGGGACTTCGGGCGTGTTCTGCATATCCCGTAGGATGTTTTCCCTTAGGAAATTGGCCAGGGCCAGGGTCCCCCTTGAGAGACTCCGGGCGTGTTCTGCATATCCCGTAGGATGTTTTCCCTTTGGAAATTGGCGAGGGCCAGGGTCCCCCTTGAGGGACTCCGGATGTGTTCTCCGTATCCCGTAAGATGCTTTCCCTTAGGAAATTGGCGAGGGCCAAGGTCCCCCTTGAGGGACTCCGGGCGTGTTCTACGCATCCCGTAGGATGTCTTGGTCGTTGCCCTGCGTCTCCCGAAGGACGCTGCTTATGGATCACTGTGTGACTATCCTGCCTCCCTTAGGAAACGGATAAGAACCTGGATACTTCCCGCAGAAGGCATGGAGACCTCCTTTTAAGAAATTCCTGGCGCACCCTGCGTCTCCCTTAGGACGCTTTTTTGCGGGCCGCGTCTCCCGAAGGACGCTTCTGGTCGTCGCCCTGTGTCTCCCGAAGGACGCTGCTTATGGGCAACTTATGTGACTATCCTGCCTCCCTTAGGAAACGGATATGAACCTGGATACCTCCCTCAGGAAGCATGGTGACCTCATTTTGGGAAATTCCTGGCGCACCCTGCGTCTCCCTTAGGACGATTCTTTGCGGGCTGCGTCTCCCGAAGGACGCTTCTGGTCGTCGCCCTGCGTCTCCCGAAGGACGCTGGTTCCCACAGTTAAAATACATGTTGGAATCATTTTTAATAGACAGTCCTTTTATTTAGTCTAAACAGAATTATCAGAATACAGTTCATCGATTGCCTATACTCAAAATTGTGACTTGATGAGCTTTAAGGAGCTTAAAAGAAATTTAAAGAATATATATATACATATTCCAGTCATAATTAAGGTTAAGAATAAGCTACAGTCGATTCACATAGATACTAAAGTTTCAGGACACATACAAGTACGTACAACTTGGTTGCAGAAAAACGGATCTTAATTCGTCTCTTAAATGGTTTTAAATTGATTTTTGTAGCCTTTCCAGAAGGCAGTAATCATATTACTTTTAGGTACGCAATTTGGCTGATATTTAAACAATAGTTTCAAGGAGACCATAAAGTTAGTCATCCCTGCCTAACAAACCAGATGAACATTTGGATTGTACCTGTCCTTTGACAGAACACTTGCTCCTGCTTCTGAAAGGAATTCTGTCATTGGATATAAGCCTTCTGAAGCCGCTACGTGAAGCGGTGTTCGCTGATCATGATTTTTCGCATTTGGGTTAATGTCATTGGCTAAAAGCCTTTTCAGAAAGTTCAAATTCCTCCTTGCTACTGTAATACAAAGAAAATCGCCAGCATCATCAATA